AAACAAAGTTTATGCTTAAGCAGCTCTATGAACTTTCGTTTACGATCGGCCAAGCGTATAATTCCCTATAATTAAAGCAGAAAATGTACTGTACAATACGACAGAGACAATCCAAAAGAGCAACGAAATCTGCATCTTAAAATAGGACAAAATTATAGATTTGACAAATTCATCAAGAGGGGGCTTGTCATGTTCAGCAAATGAAAATGCTCTCTGAATTAAGTTGATTTGTATTCATTTATTTATTATTGATTGAGCATTAAATACAATACGGTCAAAGGAAATCTGCACGCGCGCTTTGCGTCTTACTCAAACAGTGGAAGATTGTCCCCGTTGATGGCGCTGTTCTAGTTTTACATCGCCAGTGACTAAAACTCGTTCAGTTTGCCACGAGTCGGAAAGTCATTTTCCTTGCCGACTTTTTTGTTGTCGGTGTACTCCTTCGAGGTAGCTTTTCCTGTTGTTAAGGGATAAAATACACAATATAAATGCAACACATTCAATTTAACAGCTTCGTGACAGGTATACAGAGTGCCTCTTTAAGACTGATGAAATAGGCCTCGGCTGTTATTCGAGCCGTACGTCATCAGTGTCACGTTGGAATTGAGGGCTACTTCATCATTCACAATCCCAATAGGATGATCCTATTGTCTTCTCTGACGCTTCGTTTCCTTTCAAGATTCCTGTGGAGGGCAAAGGCCCGTGATATATGACGCAACTTTGACCTGCCTTTGCACTCAGGGCCGTGTATAAACTGAAGCACTAGACCGTGTTACACACGCCCATATTATACCGTAGATACGAAGTTGTACATCGAGTGGAATATGATAGACACCTACTGCCCAAACCCGGACCCGCTCGTCCCTCGACACTTTTAAGAAAATCCGGCACCTGGCATTTCGTCATAAGATAGATTAGTCTTACCTTTTGCTCTATGAACCGAGCATGAAACTGTTAGCAAGAGCACGAAATGGCCCTCCATTTTTTTACTGCTGTCTTTCATTTGACAAACGGTAGATAAGACAACCATTATCAAAGGCCAACCCCAAAGGACAATTTTATCAAATGGGCATCATTCCCAGAAGACATACGGAATTCTACAACTTAGATTTGTTTCCATACGCCTGGTCTTTAAAAGTTTGGTGTAAACTCTACAAGTCCCATCCAGTCAAGAACTGAGAGAAATCAGCTAAAAATACTCTCTCTCCAGTTTATGTGAGAAGCTTCAGCAGGTATACAACAATCCCTCAAACTGGGTCCAACTTGGACCCTCACTAAGAAAATTGTGCCGGGGCTGTACACATGTTCATGGTTGTTCCGTTTGACACATAAGAAAATGTCACAATAACAGGCCAGTGGTCCCAATTATGTTTGGCACAGAGTTCCACCCGTGCCGCAGGCATTATGAATGGATGTCGAACTAAAACAATAGCCCTGGGCCAAAGACTTTACGCTACCACTCGTCGAGGATTACAAAGGGATTACCAGAAATGTCTAGAAGTCGATTTACCTGTCGTCCCGCTAAAGGCTGGCCACGTTCCGGCGTGCCTCGATGCGCCCTCTGGAGATTTGAGTCATCAGGAGTTTTACCTGTGCCATCCTCGCTAGCTCGCTGGTCGTAGCAGGTGGTTCTCATTTGGAAACCTCCTTCTACCTGTCTCCATGCCGTGATCATCTCTCCATCAATGCTGCACATCTCTCAACGCTTGGGTTATGAGTAAAATAATGCGATGTTTTATTGTGCCGATCGGCCGCGCCAACGGCAAAGACGAAGAGGCTAGGATTATGTCTTCCTGGCGAAGGGAAAAATTGCTGTTTTTGTTTTGGGGATGTTACAAAAGCTGCCCCAGTAGAACACAAAACTCAAGATGTAGACGCTGGAGGTATAGTGCAGGTCATTCATGACCTCAGTCGAACTCTAAATTCCTCAACTGCCAACTTAAGGGTGACATTCAAATTCTAACCGTATCATAAAATAATGACGAATGAACAGAAAAAAGAATCAAGCCAAAGGCAAGATATAAAGCACGAGCCAAATAACGTTGCTTCAAAATAGCATGGAAACGACTTAGCTATCCAAAATTTGTTGCCTACCACGCAGTGCGGACAGGCCACCCTTTTCGCAGTGCATTTTGGGAAACGCTCGACTCGTGCGTACTCAACGGAAGTCACTCTATGTTCTGGAGTTTCTCAAAGTGCAAAATTCAAATTAGATCGTTTTCGTATGTAAACGACAAGTGTGTGTTTCACTGTACTGCTAGAATTGGTCCGTTTGAAGCAAAATGCTTGCTGACACACCGATTCGAAAGATGGTGTTGGAATCAATCAAGTTTATAATAATTGTTTTTAAAATGTGAAACGTGGTCGGTTTCGCGCCAAGTCGCATTGGAAAATACATAAAGCCCGGCCCCCTGGTCGAAAGAAGTGATTTAGTTCCATTCTCAGATTAGTGACGGTCACTTTCAATTTGTGTTTGGAAAACAAAACAGCAAAAAAAGAACCCCCACTAAATCCTGGGTATTTAACAGTTCAATGTGATTGAAGATTTCAGTTGGATTAAAAAAACAAGAAGGAAACTGGTCCACAGACAATAATAATTCAATGTGATTGAAGATATCAGTTGGATAAAAAAAGGAAGGAAATTAGTCCACAAGTAAATTTATATATCCAATCAAAACTATTCACATTATTTATTCAGTAGACTTCCGCGCATGCGCAAGCTGTTGCACGGAACAACACTACAAAGTGTGTGCATTTGTCCGATTTCAGTTGCATTTAAAACGAGCATGGGATTTATCAGTCCATGAGGTTGGGGCACAATTTGCGACGGTGTCCTTGTTACCTTGGTAACTTTTTCTACCTGTCATGACCTGTAGAGTAGGTCATTTACTCTAAAAATAACACACCTCTGTATTCAGCCTTGTAAGATGTATAACAATGTCAATTTGGAATACACCTGCAGGGAAACAGCAGTTCATTTCTACAAACCAAATGATGCCCCAACCTCATGGGATGACCCATAACAATGTTGTAATTCCATGCTTAGCCCTTTAGATCTTTCCATCAGAGTGGAATTAACCACTGCAACAAATTACTTTGAGAATAAAAAACACGCCTCCGTTGCGTACAAAATGCCGTCTTTGTCAAATTTCTCCAATCAAAGTAATGAACATATATTCACTGAATAATGGATATAACAAACACTAGTCTAGGTTAATGGGAAGCTACATTATCACTCAAGAGAATACATGTACATGTATAAGCCGTAGGAGAAATTCTCTCCGTGGCCACATCGTGTTGGAACTCGGTCAATCTTTCAAGTTCTCCCCTAAAGAAGTGCATAAAGAATAATTTTTTAAATGTAAACTAACTGCACGCTATTGTTTCAGGTCACAATTACTTCAGTGACTCAACATTGTGACTCAACTGTTTTCATTGATAAAATACCTCTGCCTACAGAGGGCGAACCTTAAGAGTATCAGATAAGAAAACCACACGTAAAAACAAACATACCGACACCGTTGGTACATGTATCTGAACAATTTGATTTTTTTTTCTTACCAAATTCTGCAGGTTTTGCCACGAGTAACTGAAGAATACATGCATTATAAAAATGTTCTAAAAAATCAATGCAGGAAAAAGAAAACTACAGTATTCACAAGTATTCGTCGTGCGTACGCTGTGGTTTGAGTTAGGGGTTTCATGTTTGCAGGTAACAATGCAAAAATACCCAATTCCAATCAGATCTCCCTCAAGCTTGCCAATTATTCAATAGCCACATGTAACGTCCTCTTGATGTATGCCAGAAAAAGTACTTGACTGAAGATGAAAAATTTCCACAGAAATACATATATAAAAATTTGTACAACCTCTGAGCATTAGTTAATTCCCATTGATTTGACAAAATATGAAGACACATTTTCTTATCAAAAGACAAGTACATGTACTTTAAAATGACTGTAAAACAACAAATTTTCTGAACAATCATATTTACGCCACAAGCATAGGAAGCTTCGATGCCACCGACCACTCTGTAGATAACTATCTTCTAAGAATATAAACTATGTTTGAGGGACACACATTTAAATAGAAACCTCTTTCAAAGATGTCCATGTACAGGTTTTTGTCTTTCAAAGAAATCACTTCCCACATAAACTAATTTGTGTGGCCTGAAAAGTGATGATTATGTACATATTCTAATACTATGAGAACTAGAAAAGTATGTTACACTATTCAAGTTTTATTTCCCTATCAAAATTTGTATCAAAGTTTACAGGTCCGACGATGTGGTCAGACCTCTCTTGCATCATGAAAAGGCTTGTAACAAAAATAGAACATTTCTACATTTTGAATTCAGAGGTTTCTCCGGTTTGCAAAACTGGGTCACTACACCATGCTATAATTTTTGTGAAATGAGAAAGTTTAGTTTCACTGAGAATTCTAATTTTAAATGGAAGCAAGATTCATCAATTTCTGGTTGAATTCAAAAGAAAGGCAAAATGAGATGAATGACACCTAACTGGTACAATTATCGACTGTACAATTATGTACAAGTGAAAACACAGCACTATTTACAAACACCTTACGGGAAAGGTAAAGATGACAAGACTACAGTTTTCGCTCTCCCCATATACACGTCAGTTCTAAATTTTCGATAACAAAGAGCTGCCTTTCACCATAATGGGAAATTAATCCCTCCACAAGGAATGAAGCACTGGTCTATTTTGCCAGCACGTCATGTCTGCACTTCCCCCCCAACACTGTTTTCAATTTACTAATTGTAAAAACACTGGAAAATTGAAAAGGCGTGATTATTGACACTGACTTCATTTGTTATCCATGCGATCGAAAATCCAAATATGAATGAATTCCTATTTGTGAAAACACCAATTTCAAAATAAAGAAATAAAAACAACAAACCACTCACGTTAATTACAAACCAAAAAAGCTACTGATTGACTTCATTTGAACTTGTTTTTTCCCCCAGAGAGATTTATATCAAGGTTATTTTCTTTTCTATGAGTCTTAGATAAAATTTGATTTTAAAAATACCGTTTGACATACATGTATTTAATTCTTCCTTGCTCTAGTGGTTCTCCTTGTAACAGCAGGTGAAGCCTTCTTGGTGATGGCTGGAGATGCCTTGGCCACTTTCTTTGTAGTCTTCAGAGCTTTCGAGGCTGACTTGGGAGTCTTAGCTTTGGATGCTGTTCTTCCTCTAGTAACCCGCTGTTTTTTAGGAGTGGGTGTATCAATGACAATGGTCTCTACAATGTTTTTGACAGCCTTTGCCTTGCTTGGCTTTGGAGTGGTAGCAGCCTTCTTGATGGCCCCCCTTCGAGTCTTCTTAGGGCTTGGCTCAGTGATTATTACTACCTCCATTACCTCCTTGGCTGCCTTCCCACGTGTTGTCTTCTTAGCCGGTGTTTTGGCTGCCTTCCCACGTGTTGACTTCTTAGCCGGTGTCTTAGCAGGTGTTTTGGCTGGCTTTGCTGGAGATGCTTGCTTCCTGCTTCGTCCTGATCTGGTTGTTTTAGGAGAAATGGCTGGGAGCTCCACTGCCGCCACTTCCTTCTTGGCTGCAGTCTTCTTGGGGACTGCCTTGGATTTAGCTGGCATCTTAGCAGGAGTTTCCTTCAAAGCTGAGGATTTAACTGCGGTTTTCTCTGGAGCTACTTTGGATAGCACAGGAGAGCCGACTTGTCTTCTTCCGCGAACTGATCGAGTCTTCTTGGGACTGGGCACAACCTTGTCAACTTTTGGGGTACCCGCTTTCTTGGCAGGTGCAGCTTTCTTAGGAGTCTTCACCTGCTTGGTTTTAGCAGCTGCTTTTCTGCCTCTTTTAACAGGAGCTGGAGTCTCTGCCTTAACTGGGGACACTATTTTGACTGTCTTTTTGGGTGTTGGAGCAATCGCCTGTTTCTTAGCTCGTCCACGGGTCTTCTTAGGGGAAGGTTCCACAGAGACCACTGGAGTGACTGGAGCAGTAACCGCTTTTCTTCCTCTTGTCTGTTTCTTTGGGGTCTTTACCTTGACTGGAGGAGTTTCAGCTTTCTTGTCTGCAGCTCCTTTACGACCACGCTTTGCTGGTGTTACTGCCTTTTGTGGAGTGTCCACCTGTGCTGAACTCACAGCTTTCTTCTTGGTGGGTGGCTCTTCAATTGGTTCTACGGCTGATCTTTTGCCACGGGACTGTTTGACTGGAGTAGGTGATGGTTCAGTGACTTGCTTGGCAGCCTGGGCCTTCTTTCTGGGGGTCTTGGTTTTCTTGGCCGGGGTTTGCTTAGTTACAGCTCCCCTCCTCGCTCTTGTCGGCTTCTCAGGACTGGGCTCTATTATTTCTCTCTTAGGAGCAGGAGTACTTGCTTTACTGCGTTTCACTGCCGGAGCTGGGGATGGAGAGGCCTTGCGCTTGGTTGCCTTCTTAGTGCTAGCTTGGACAGGGGATGAAGGTTTTTGCTTAGGAGTAACAAACAAATCAGGAACTCCTTCAAAGTCCTCGTAGGGATCAACCTTCTTGGGAGATGACATAAGCTGCTTGATGCCACCCAGTTTGGGAGTCTTGGGGGAAGGCTTGATCTTGGGGGTTTTTAACAGACGAGAGATACCAGAGAAATCAGGGGTCTTGGCCCCTTCTGGTGTCTTTGCCCTCACCACCTTGCCTGTCTTCATGGGAGTCTCACTCTCCTTCAATGGTGACACAAACTTCTCTGACATTCTCTTACCAGGTGTCTTAGCTTTTGCAGGTGTCTTAGCCTTTGCAGGTGTCTTGACCGTTGCACTCACCACCTTGCCTGTCTTCATGGGAGTCTTACCTTCCTTCAATGGTGACACAAACTTCTCTGACATTCTCTTACCAGGTGTCTTAGCTTTTGCAGGTGTCTTAGCCTTTGCAGGTGTCTCACTTTTTGCATTCACCACCTTGCCTGTCTTCATGGGAGTCTTACCTTCCTTCAATGGTGACACAAACTTCTCTGACATTCTCTTACCGGGCGTCTTGACCTTTGAAGGTGTGTTAGTCTTTGCTGGTGTCTTTACCTTTGCTTTCACCACCTTGCCTGTCTTCATGGGAGTCTTACTCTCTTTAAGCGGCGACACAAACTTTTCCGACATTCTCTTACCAGATAATTTGACAGCAGCCAGTGCAGTCACAGTGACTAAGGACTTCATGGGTGTTTGCTCAGCTATGAGTGGGGATACCATCTTATACGGTGAGGTGCTCTTCCTGGGACTGGGCATCCTTGGCGTCAGGGGTGATACAGCCATCACACCAGGCCCTTCAGGAGTGGATAGATCCAGGGTGGTATCCAGCAGAGACTGTTTAGCTTTCTTCTGGGGTGATGGTGTCTGCATCATGTCTGCTAATCCTGTGAAGCTGGTGTCAGCAGCAGACTTGGTCTTGGGTGGTGCCATCTTGAAGGGAGTCTTCCTGCCCTTCTTGGGGCGGACTGGTGTCTTGGCAGTTTGCTGAGAACGTCCGATCAGGATGGTTGCTGGAGAGCCAGCATGCCCTGTGCTGCCAACACCATATGCCCTCTGAAAATGGACAAATGAAAAAAAAGAAAGAAAACTTGGTCTTCATTGGATATCTTTCAGAATATGGCACTTTCTGTTTTACAGTTTTTAAAGTTTGCCCAATTGAATACAATGCAATTGGTCAAACTGTAAACACTGCTTAAATTTGCTTTTATGATGTTACCTATTAACCCCTTCGCTATGGAGGACTGTTACTACAGCACCATTGTGTATTAGTGCATACCACACATACAGTCTATTCACCAGGCAGCTGCTGGTTCAGAGGGGCCTGCTGCTGGACAAAGCCGTCCATTCAGGGCATGCCACAGCCCTGCAGTCGCGGTCAAAATAATCCCGCCGTGAAGGGGTTAAAACAATGCATATTACATGAAGCAATTATATTCAAAGTTTTGATACACTTTTCAAAACAAATGAATGTAATCAACTGTTTCAGTACTTTTTAATTTTCAAAACTTGCAATAATTTCAGTACATTAATTCAGCAAGCAAAATACGGCTTCAAAGTTTTATCTCTGACTTTAGGGGTATATATTCATATCAATTAAATTAAGATGTTGTGCCTTCAGTAGAAATGGACAGAATAATAAAAATAACAAACCTTTGGTGTCTTGGCTTTGGAAGAAAGCACTCTGGCTTTCGTGGTTTTAGACGTCTTGAGGGCACGTCCAACGAGGACTTTAGAAGCAGCTGAGGGCTTAGAAGCTCCTTTTTTGACAATGTCTGCCCATCGCATCGGACGCGGAGTTTTCATTCGGGCTGGAGTCTTAGCCTTTGGTGTTTTAGCCCTGGGAGTCTTGGCCTTTGGCGTCTTAGGTTTGGGTGCGGCCTTGGCTGGTGTCTGCACTGGAGACTTGACTGCAATTGTTACGGCTTTCTTCGCAGGTGTTTTTAGAGCCTGGTTCTTGGCTTTTGGGGTGTTGACTTTAGGGCTGGCTGGCTTGACGGCTGGGGATTTCTCAGCGGTTGGTGTCTTGGCCTTCTTGGGAGTTGGTGTTTTCGCCTCGGGTGTTTTTGGCTTAGTCTTTTTGAGAGCAACACCCTGTAACCATGAAACATAATAAGGGGCGACCAAATTAACAAAGTTTTTGGAGAGGGAGGAGAAATGCCACATTGTTGCAAGAATTTTTTCAGTGATACCCAATAGACAGTGACGCCACTTCTTTTATACTGCAAGTTCGAAGTTACCCGATTCCTCTCAAGCCAATCGACAGCCCACAGGTGCTATGCCTAAAGACAAAATGTCTGCCAAGGTGCACTTACCTTTTCAATCTCTGACTTGAGGGCTGGGGGCATCTTCTTGGTCTCAGTGCTTATCTTTCTCTCCTCAGCGGCAGCCTTGATATCTTTCTGCAATGGAGATGCCATCTTCTTAGGACTAAGAACCTTTGGCCTTGCTGCAGCTGCTGCCTTGATGCTCATCTGTAAAGGTGTGGACATTTTCTTCGGGGTGGCCTGCTTGGGTCTTTCAGCAGCAGCTTTGGCTATCGCCTTCTTCAAGGGTGTGGCCATTTTCTTGGGTGTCGCCTTCTTGGACAGGGCCTTTGCAGCATTCTTGATGTCTTCTTTCAGAGGTGTTGACATCTTCTTTGGGCTGGGCTTGGCTCTTTCTTGTGCAGCCTCAATGATAGCTTTCTTCAAGGGGGTCGACAACTTCTTTTTCAGTGCCAACTTAGGTGTAGGCTTGGACACTCTGCCCTGAATGACAGCAGCTTTTTTGACAGGTGAAGGTGTGTTAAACATTTCTGGAAGGCCAGTGAAACTCTCATCCATCAATTTTGATGAGGGCTTAACTACTCTTTGGGTCTTCTTCCCTGATAGTGGGGTAAGTAGTGTAGATACAGTAGCATTTACAGGTGGTTTTTCTTTTGGTGTAACTGCTTTTGGAGTGGCCACTTTAGCATCTGCCTTGGATGGAGAGGGTGGCTTCACTGGTAGTTTAATCTTCATAAGGGGTTTCTTTGCCGACTTAGGAGATTTAGCTGGTGATTTCTTGGAAGATTTGGGGGTTGCTGTAGGAGACTTTTTGGCTGGAGATTTAGCTGGAGATTTAGCTGGTGGTTTGGCTGGCGATTTGGCTGGTGACTTAGCTGGGGACTTAGATGGTGATTTGGCTGGTGACTTCGCTGGTGATTTGGCTGCTACTTTCTCTGGTGTCTTAGCTGGAGACTTGGCAGGAGATGCTTTTGCCTTAGGCGACTTAGCAACTATTGGTGACTTCTCAATGTCTTCCACAGACTCTTGGATTGCAGTGACTGCCAAAGAATTGCGATGCTTGATGAGACTGGCAACCTTAGGACTTGATGCCACTCCACTAAATGAACGCCTACTTTTGGGCGTGGCACCGCGACGGAGGGGAGTAAGAGGTGGCAGGCGCCTATCAAACTGCTCAGGGCTGAGCTGAGGACCAAACGATACACGCTTGCGTTTTGCACTTGGAGCAACGCCATCAGTAGATTTCCGCTTCTTGTTTGATGCAGGGGTTTTCTTCTTACTAGGAGGTGTCTTTGCTGTAAATAAAAGGGGAAAATACATTGCTGTCTTAAACATCACTTTATATGGCTACATTCAAACCACTGATTTCCAGGCAAAGTACACTATGGAACAAAAGTATGCTAATACATGTGATTGTTACGTGAAATGTAATTTGCATTAGGACAGTTACCTTTTGGTGATGCTTTGGGTGGGGTCTTGGCCACAGACTTAGGAGTGGTCTTTGCTTTGGGCGTGATTTTGGAAGCAGCCTTGGGTGAGGCTGCTTCATCCTCTTCCTTCAGTGGAGCAGAGACACGTCGTAGTTGCCCAATGCTTCTCTTCAGTGACTTGGAGGAACTCCCAGGCATCCTGGGGCTGTCTACAACAGCCTTCAGCAAATCAGATGCAAAATATAAAATGTAGAAATGGTATTGGAAAGGAAGGTTTCGAGAGACATCTTCAGACTTTACAACAAAATACTTATCGCACATCGAGAGGTTACTCCAAGGTATGACAGATTCCAGTGGTCTCCACGAATACGGCCATTTCACAATAGTGCACCACCAAGAGTATGCAACGCATTGGCCAATTACAATGAGCGAAATCTGTCAACCGATTTGGAAAGGGTGGACAGATTTCCCGCCTCACAATTGGCCAACGTGTTGCAAACTCTTGGTGGCACACTATTGTGAATCGCCCGTATTACAATACAGGTGTAAATCTTTGAAACTCATTCTGTACACTTGAAATTGCTGAACCTTGCAACTCACTTTCGCAGATCCGCTCAATCTCTTCTGAACCTTCTTGGCTGATGCTGATGTTCCTTTCTTTGGTGTTTCAGTTTTCCCCTCTTTCTCAACCGGAGTGGTACTGGTGACAGGAACTTCCTGGGATGCCTTAGGTGAGGCTTTGGGTGACACTTTTGGAGACTTCTTGGCAGTAGGCGATGTCTTGGGAGTAGCTGCCTTCTTGGCAGTGGGTCGAGTTTTTCCCGAGTCAGGTGACGATGTAGTTGCCTTGGGTGTGGCCTTCTTTGCTGGGACAGAGGAAGATGGTGATGCTTCTCTCTTGACATGTGTCTTGACTGCTGGACTCTTTGCCTTGGATGGTGTCTTCCCAGGACTCTTAGATGGTGTTTTCTTAGGTGCTGTTCAAAAGAAAGAAATGAGGCTTAATTGAATTCATCAATTCATTTTAACATCAATGTAAACAGAAAATTTGAAGTTACAATGAGCAATTATCCAATGCACACATAGCTTTCACATTTAATGAAAACATCTTGGTTACTGAGTAAAGGAAGAGGTATTGTAAAGTATGCACATATATAGTGTAATTTGACCACCAGAATTAGAAGCCATTACTGCAGTGGCACAACGCTCGTGGACAGGTGGTACGCGCGCATTACATGCCTCTTCGACCAACACGGTGTCGTGATTTGCCAAATGCACGCGTGCGTCATGCTGAAGAATGTGCGCGTGTGTGCGGTGCCACCGCAGTTAGGGCGTCTAATCAGATTAGTCTATAGTATGCACTTGCTTGGAAATTAAAAACTATGTTGACGAAATCCCTTTAACTGTCCCATTTATTTGGGGGGGGGGGGCAACGCGGTAGGGGTTGCTTACTCTTTGCTTTGTTACCGCTGGTAGATGAGACCACAGGACTCTGCACTGATGGTGTGTCTAGTTTGCCAGTGGACAGACGATTTGCATGTCCTGGTGGAAACTCAAACCTGGGCAAAGTCAAATGTAAAATCCACAGTACATGCATGCAGATGACTGTTGCTATGCCAATACCTGGGTTCAATTCACTTTTGATAAACATCAAGTAAAGGTCAAAACTCAAGGCTTATGCACCCAGTTTCAGTACTTTTACAACAAATAAAAACCAAAATAGACTGCAAATAAGTCAGTTTTTCTGTCGTCATTTCATTATCCTTATTTATCAGTCATTCACACAGAATCAGAGGGGATTTTCCATGGAGTAGTGTCAGCATTCACATCTAAATGACTGTATAATTTCCAGTACGGACTTTCCAGATTAGGGGAAAATCTGACACTTATGCCTTTCAACATTTAATTGGGAATACTTTCTGTCCGACTGAATAACTCATCCATTCTCACTGGATACTGTCTGAAATGCCTTGTGCTGCTGTGTAGGAACATTATACAGTTGAACCTCGCTAATAGGAGGTCTTTTGGACTTAGCAAATTACCTCATTATAACAGGAACTTGTATTATCAGGAATGAAAACAATGAAGAACAAAGGATAGGGTCCGAAAAATGTCCTTGTTATAAGCAAAATCTTGTATTAAGAGTGCCCTTATTAACAAGGTTCGACCGCAGATGGAAGCATATGCTAACACAAGTGCAGCCCAAATAACTTGAAAGCATGTGGGTAACATGATCCATTCTAAGCAGGAAAATGCAGCAAATGTTTGAAATAAAATGACGTTTACAGTCGGACATAATTTCATAAGGCCGTGGAGTTTTTCTTTGGTTTCTAACCTGAATGACCGGTCAATTATTGTGAAGATGTCCTTGTGTTTCAGAGTCACAGAGCTCGTCAGGGTCTTGCCATTTATCCTGGTTGGGTTCACTGTGCTCAAATTAGTCAGAGTGATCTGTAATGTGTCAAATCAAGAAAAAGGATTTAAAAGGTTTGGTTAGTGCCAAAATGGGCACATAAAACTACTTCAATTTTTTATTAACAAACAGCTCACTGTAATGAGGCCCCATCAGTTTTGTAGTCAACACCATCGCAAGACCAGACAAAAGACCAGTCACAAGTAACAGCGTGAGCAATGACAAAGCAATGCTTTTGTTGCGGTTCATTTGAATAGTGTGTGACTTGAATTCAGACTGGAGGTCTTGGGCTGGTCTTGTGATTGTCTTAAAGTGGTCTCGACTACAACACTGAGCCCTATACATGCCTGAATTTGGAAGCCAGAAATATGCTAATAAAGCAAGAACATTTGACAGCACAAAAGACTAAAAATGCATAAACTCGTATTTTTGAAATTCCTATTTCTAGAAATTTCTTTATGTTTCATTTTTTTATGAAAAAACCAGTTCAAGTGTTTAAAATTTCATTATCTGAAAATCTTGTTAAAATTTTACATGTTTCTGATCCCTTTCCTGTTGAAAGAGGGAATTTAGAAAGCTGGAAGATTTACACTATTTTTGATGAAAAATTATAAGACACTATTATGGTAATACTTCTCTCACGCTTACATTGTCATCATCCACAACCTCAATACGGCAGTGTTCTTTGGAGACATTTGGAAGTTGAATCCGGATGTCACATTCGTTGGTCCTAGACAACAAAATAATCGCACATAATTTAATCAACAGGAGACTTTGAGAGACTTGGTGGCAGCAAAAATAGTGGTCCTTTTTAGTTTACCAGATTTGAGATCTTGTGTCTTGTTTTCAGCATGTATGTATGGTTCTGAGCATGTGCAGTACTGAGGAAAAGGATCGATAGGCCTATGCCTGATGCCGCTAGAATCTCAAAGTCTCCCACTGGATGTTAGTTGAATAAAAGCAATTTTCAGTAAAGCATCTTGGATCGTCCAACATTCCCAATGGTGCGAGTCAATGTTGAGTGTACAATTACACAGTTAATTAATTTGTTAAATAAATCATCCCAACATATTAAGCCCTGAAATTATCTGTTGTCATGTGCTTGGATCAACATGACTGACTAAAGTAGGCCAAGTTAATGACTGGGAATTTTGTTAATTTCTCCATAAATGCTGGGTCCTTGACTCTTATAGGTAAACCCATGATATATTTTCTAGACAACTCACCTTCCGAACAAGCACTGTTTGAGTGTGAGGGGAAAGTTGGCCCCATCCGACTCATTCCGTTTGATTACCACGATCTTTCCATACAGTGGCATTTTCTGCAGATAAAAAATTAATTTTTTTGAATATTTCAGTTTTGTCATTTTTGGCCTATCATTTCAAAGTGTAGGCCCAGTGTTTTTTTTTTGGGGGGGGGTTGTAGAAATCTTAAACTAGCTATGGCCTACAGCTGGTGGCTTCTGAGGATGGGTGTCTTATATTATAATCACGCTGTAGCCACACATTTTGAAACAGCATTGTTCCTTTCATCTTGATGAGAACCAGTCCACTCGAACTGGTTGATAGGCCATCTTCTGAATGAAACCTCCATAATATTTACTGGCATCCGTCATGTCCTTAGGATATCATGGATATGGACTAGCCCCACTAGTGTGGCACGGACTCTCACTCCCGATCCATCCTTAGCCACACATCCGTATGCGCAATTTCGTGTCGGCGTATTGAACATTCCGGCGCACCCACTTATCATCGTGGGCGCAATTTCTCTTGCACACGAACATGATCCTTGACCTTTCTGTTTTCTAAAAACTATTTATTGAATGATTTCACTCACGTTATTCAAGTATTTTCCAGTCTTTTTGCCTTTATCCATTCAATCTAACGGGCTCGCTCTCTCATCTTTAAAATAAGATCGTTGAACAATACGTTACTTGACCTCTCATCGTCTCGACGGCTCTTCCATGTCAAGACATCTAAACTACTGCCAAAGTTTTGGAAGAGCCCATTGGTACATGTACTGATGTAGTGCCCAGTCCGTTTATTACATATGCCATGCCACACTAGTGAGTAGTGGGGCTAAGATATGGACATGATCTGATAATGGAACTCTTCCCCAACAACATGGGAATACTGTCATGACTGTAAGCTACTATAGCACTGTATTGTTACTATGACACGTTTCATATAGGCCTAGGTCTAAGCCCTGTTTACTGCATCACCATCAACTCAATTTTCAAATCACAGCTTCCATTTCCCACGACAAAAGACAAGGAGCCATGAAAGCTGACAAGTCCTGCCACTTACAGCCTCAGAAAAATCGTTGGAAATCAAAGTCTATTAAAAAAAAAACACTTCCTTACCTTGGTTGTTCGTTACGTAAGTAGTTTAAAATGAGAAACAACATTAGTACATTCAAAAAATCGAGAGACTTTGGACTACACTTTCGGTGGGGAACGGTGGAACAACTCCAATTTGTACTCCCCGCGTTCAAATTGTTTACCCTATCGTGTTCAACGGCTTTATACGCAAGCCTACACGTACGTACGTACAATACACACGGACTCGTCGTATGATCATAACGTCCTAGTTTTCCATACGTTAACGTCAATGCCGGTATGGAGCGCAGTTTGCCCAATCATGCTAATATCCATGCACGTTAACAAAGTAGTGCATAAAGTTTTTTAGGATTCTTGATCCACATGAGCGTTTCTTTGATGGCATGTAACAATTTCTTCTCACTAATGTATTTACGTGTAAAAATGAATCAAGAAAAAATGACTATTTTTAATATTTTGAAAAGTTTTCAAGTTAATATGCGTAAGAATACTGCATACGGCCGTTAACAACAGGCTCAAATTTAAATTTATACAATTCTCCCTTGTGATTGGTCGAATGATTAGACATGCAAAACAGTGGTTGCACAATTACAAAAATCAACTGAAGAAAAAACAATCATTAATAATACCTTATTTTTAAAATAATGAGTAAACCATACTGATTCTTATTCAGTTTATTCGCTCATGCATCGGGCACATCATATGATAATTGCATGATCAGTGCACACTGCACTTAAAAACCTTGAACAAAATCGGACATGTTGTAACATGTCCTGAACTGGTACATGTACAGTACATGTATAAAGCTTAGTGTCACTGGCGCGGCAAAGTCAACTCAATCAAAGCTTGTGAACAAACCACGGAGAAACGAAACCGAAAAAAAGAATGTTCCTACCACAATGAAAACATGAAAAGTAGTTCAGAGTACTCCGCGGAAAATGTGGTGTTCGTTCGGCTTCAATTCGCTTCAAAAAATTCACACACTTAGCGACGGCTATTACGAGTTCATTCGTTGATCCCCAACCTAAACAAAATTTACATTCACAAAGCTGGGGAGAGAGGAAGAAAAGGACAAGAAAAAAGGGTTGTAAACAATTCCGTCACTTTTTCGTTGGTGACTCTGGACAATTTTTCAGAGCCCCCACTCATCTATTTGTATTACTTCTGTTCACTAGATCGGTTCTTCACGACGGTACGGTAAATTGTACGTCCACTGGCAGTCGAGTCCAGCCTGGTGCGAGCGCGCCCTTTGTTCTTGACTTAGGAAATCGACCAATGTTCAACACTCTACACCTTGCAACAGTAGAATGCCGAATACTTCAAGTCTGCATTTCCCGTCAGACTTACATGGTTTTATGATCCTGTGGCAGTCTCACCGCAAATCTTCTCAACATGCAGCATAAACTAACGGCCCTTGCGTATGGTTTATTGAATCATTATGGAAGCTTACTCGTGGATGTCAATGTCGAGCGCGCCGCTAAGTGGGCCATCTAGAATTTTGTTCTTGTATGTCGTCTGTGAGAGGGTTTTATGGTCAAGCACGTGTGGGATGTCCTTTTGGTCAGTAAATTCAACTTATTCTGGGAGTTAACCGAAGTTGGCTAACAGAACACTGTACCATGACCACAATACCATGATCCATTTCATTAGAAGTTGAAAATGCATTTTATGAAACTACTACTGAAACTCGCACCCTCCAACAGCAAGGCCTAGACATCCATCTGTTCAATCTTTCACCAGTCCAATAGTGTTCAATACAAACGTGTAACTCGCTTTTTCAGAATTATACCATCAAAAACCCCTTTGCTTCAAATTTGATTATTTAATAATAAAAATTCTTTCCAACTTGACAGAGGAAACATTGGATCAATTCAATGGTGCCGACGCCCGACCCAACTTTGACCGGACAATATTTACTACGCTGGCACATTGACACTGAATATATAGCAATCACCCATTATTCATCTGGCGTAGTAGGCCTACAGACTTTTCCCGCCAGTCACTGCCGGTCCATAAAACACAAAGAAAAACACTCGAGCTCCGAAATGTTCAAATCATATTCACGGACATTTAACAAAACTGCATTCATTTACGGACGCTGACCGTCAAAGGCGAATCAAAGGCTACAGAAACACCTGCTGGTCAATCTTCTCTTAATGAAGAATCAATTCTCAGTCTAGCTATCTTAATTAACATCAGTCTTTGACAAAATGAAAAATATTCACTGTACATGGAAATGTAGTCATGTCACTGACTCGGAACAGAGTTTAAAAACTAAATCGAGCAGAGGTGTACGACGAGTTGTATGCTCAATGATAAAACTCTCAGAGAAGCAACAACATCAATTTTGGTACACTGTTCTGTGCCTCAAACCACCAGAAACTAAACATTCCGATTAGTGTGGCCAGTTTTCTCCAATCCTTCCGCTTGGGAAGCCACCATTTTGACAAAATGAACAGCTCCCTTGGCTGGAGTCGAATGTTATTCTTTAAGTGCGTGGGTAGGCCTAAAGGTTAAAACCTGATATTTCCTGAGGCGAAGCAATCGTTTTGGCGTATTTCTTGATGAGCTATGATCTAGAAAAGAGTTTGCAATAAGTGTAGTACAGATGACAAGACTAGTGCAAGCCACGTAAATCACAGGAACATTGATAAACTCTCGAATGGAAAATACCTCTAATAAAAAAAAGAATACAATCGTGAAATTTCTAGACTAAATTCCCATACTGCAGTGACAAAACCATGGCATAAGAATAACTAGTGAAAGAAACCCTTTCTAGAAATTTGTAAACACTAAATCCATTAGGTTAACCAACTATCTTTAAGAAGATGTGGTGACATTAAGACATTTGATAAATATTAAGCCATCAAGACAGAAACTCAACACTGCGTGCACATAGTAAACAATTTAGGGACGTGTTTTGGCAGCTTGATTTTAAGGATGGCTGTCTATTCTTTAGTTGGTTCTCCGTGCATGTAAGGCCTCACTTTTTTGGCAAATGACACTAAATTTAATATTGTTTTGTATTTGATTTATGTTAGAATATATTGTTTATACCACCAGAAACAAAACTAGACAAGTGAAAGTATAAAGGTTCACAAAACACTTGTCCACATAAGTATTACAGATGTCTGATGCAAGGAATACAAGAAGTTTAGTTATGAATTATATTTATACAAAATTGGTTACTTCGTGAAATCACTTGCTACAGTTACAAAGATATGCCTACATCTCTTGAGATAAAAGCTACAGATCCAGCATTTTCCATGGGGGAAGGGCGTGAACTAAAAATGTTAGAGTCACAGCCATAATATTAGGGAGCTTGGGTAACTGGAAGCAGAACTGTTGTTTTTTACGCCTTTGTCACATTTGTGGGGCTGGGTCCCAACCCCTCTTTTTCTTCTTTTTTATTTATTTTTGGGGTGAAAAAAGGGGACCCCCACCCCCCCCATCCACTCCTGGATATAAAAGGTTTCGTGCATAATGTTATTTGCTTGCGCCAGTTCCAAAGGTCTTATTCCATTCAAGGTAGACTTTAAGATCGGACTTTGACACACTTGGCCTCATGTGCCTCAGAGCTCCTTGAAAATCCTGGTACAGAATGGGACGAACCTGCATGGGCAAATAAACAAGTAAACAAAGTTAGGTAAACAAGGCCAGATAATTAAACAAAAATAGAAATGAACATTATGAATGTTACTCAAACAAGTACATGTACTGAACACAATACTGGGGCTTGATGTCTAGATCTCTTCACAATCATTAATCTGAATGATACCATCTACCTGATCTGCACTGATGTATTGTATGTCTGTCCCACGGATGCAGCGGATAGGACCAAGAGCCGCCTCTCGACACAGATTGGCCATATCGGCACCAGAGTAACCTGTGGTAACCATGTACGTGGCAATACATGGTTGGTTAACACATGGTATAGAAAGTGAGCCAAACCAAACGGTAATGTGTCAATCACTGGATGTCTACTCTAATTCTTGTATATGCAGTTTGAAACCTTGAATAGGAGGATGAAATTGCTTTCTTGAAACAAAGATGTGGGGGTGCCATGATTTCTTTTTCATGGTCAGAATAAGGAAAATTTATATTCGTGGAAAACTGTAATTGGGTACACAATTAAAAAAAAACCTTCATGAAGCTTTTCTTTTCATCAAACTTGCATTTTTTAGAGGATTTATTGATGATGATATAGAGTAACCTCAAAGTTAAGTGTGTCGAGCATTTCTGAACATTACAGGATAAGTTCTAACCATCAGTATCCTGACATATTCTTTCCAGTTCCTCCTCAGTGAGTGAGTAACTCTGCTGAGCCAATAGGTTCTGGACAATCTGCCTCCTAGCAGGTGCCTCAGGGAGAGGGATGTAAAGACGCTTGACCATCCGACGTCTAGCTGCCTCATCAATCTCCTGTGGGCGATTGGTTGCACCAACCACCAAGAGACGGTCATCTGAGCTTGTAGTGGCTCCATCCTAATGGAGGCAAAGGTCAAATTAAGCCTTTTGTCACTTCACCGTCCCAACAAACTATGTCTGTGTAATGCGAGAACTGTTTGGCTAGTTTAGGTTCTAACATCCAGGTATTAATATTGTTCCCCATTACATGTCCTGAGGATTGTAGGTAGGCACAATCCAAGTCTGCAGTAATGGCTATGGCCTCTTGTGATAAGCTAACAAGTTGATGTAACAAGCCACAGCCTGAAATTAAATGCTTGATTTGGGCAACATTGACTGGAAGGGGCAGTCAATCTTAAACACTGCCAACCACACCCACCAACTGCACCAGGAACTCTGTTTTGATTCGTCGTGATGACTCATGTTCATCATTGGATCTCTGTGAGAGGAGTGAATCGATTTCATCGATGAAAATAACTGCGGGCTGATGGCATCGCGCAACAGCAAAGAGCGCCCTCACCATCTTCTCTCCTTCACCAACCTAATGTCAGACAAAGAACATTTCCTGTTAAAACGTCTGAAACAGTACAAGAATTTGGGGGATAAAACAGAATTGTTGGAAAGCACCACCACCTCACCAACGGTCTTTGCGATTCTAGGGGTCTGCATGAACATGAAACGTTTGCTTGGTCTACTTACATACAGTTCTTGACTCTTTCAAAGCCTTCAAATCTGGTCCTGACTTACCCATTTGGAGGTGAGAGAAGACGCACTAATACTGAAGAAGGTGGCCCCAGACTGACAAGCGATGCACTTTCCTAATGAAGAGTAAAACAGAAAGAAGACAAATTATAATAGTGTAACTTATAAGGACTCTGATATCATTTCAATTTTCTAAACAAAATATAACAAGATAATTGAGAAAAGCTTTACTTAAAGCACATTCAACGATTGCTCCTAACCACTGTGTAAAAGTCATTCCATGACTACTGTCACGATGTCCAGAACAAAAAGACTTGAATCAAAGATCAAAGAAACTGTTTACCTATAAGTGTCTTGCCTGTACCAGGAGGTCCAAACAGCAGAAGGCCTTTAGGAGGACCTCGTAAACCATTGAAGATATCTCTGAAAAATGTTAAAACACTTGGAATAAAAATTCATCCATACATAACTCTGAAGATCTCTAAACAAATTTGTCATTCAGTTCTAGAACGTCAGAGAGATAATGGAAAGAAATTGTCCATGCGAAGAATTTCCTGGTTAGCACAGCCATGAAATTAGGATGTCATTAGCCTTGACAATAAGTAAAAACTTACGGTCTAAGCATCGGCCACACCACAATCTCTTTAATGGTTGTCTTAGCAAACTCCAACCCAGCAATATCATCCCAGTGGATTGGTGGGCCATGATCCATTATCTAGAAGATATCAAGAAAAAAATTTTGTGAACAGTCGGTATCAAATTGGCCAGAACAAACACGTGAAGAAGACAAGTTTCTACTTGATGAGTAAAAACCTGTTAACAGTTGACAAAAGTCTTGACTTCCAAGTCTTTTCAGAAGATGCATGAAAGCAAATAATTTCCTTACCAAATTTCACTCAGACCAGTTCTATGAAATCATACACGTTTAAAAAATTCGGTTTTCTGTAAAGAATTCAAAATCTAGTGAGCTTCTTTGCAAAGAAAAAATACTATTGTGTATAAACCTCATTTGTGACGAGTTCAATCATCTTTGGATCAATTCCTTTCAAACGCTCGTCTGTCATTTCTTCCTCAGCACTACCAGTGGCCTTTGACCTCCCAGTGACTCCTCCCTGACCACTTTGATGACCTCTGAAATGTGATGAAGAAAAACAAGGACAATTTTGGGTTCAAAGCTCCAGTATAGAAGTCCAAAGGAGGGGCCGAGTCATGTCCACAGATAGAAATAGGAACAAACAGACTGATGGAGAGACAAATCAACAGCCCACCTATCACTGTCTCCTTCATCCCTATTCATCACCGGAGGAACAAATTTGCTATTGAGTCCTCTTCTTGTAGTTCCTAATGACTTCTTGGCAGTACCGTAAGCTGATGATGTTGGACCTCCACTCCCTGCTCGGTTTCCATACTTCTTCTGATTCTGAATAATCTAAGAAACACGGCAAATTTTATTAAAGAAATCTATCTTTCTGTTAAATAACAAATATTTTCCCTTTTGGCAGATATTTAACATCTTAACCCCTTCACGCCGGGACGAGTTAAAACATGCCGTAAAAATTGAGATCCTCAGCCCGCTTTTCAGCTATTAGTCTCGGCCCATGCTCGAGCGAACACGGTGAAAGAAGGGACCCTGGCTCTTGTGTTTATGGTAATTGGTCTTTGTGTGTAGCCCAGAAATGAAAAGACCGAATTTGCATCATAATCACCAGCTTCAAAGAGGCAACGGGAATGTGGAAGCTTGAGTAGAGCCGCATGCCACCGAACAATCAGCCTTTTCACCGTGTAATTCAAAGCATGCAGAGCACACTGGGCCACAAACCGAGAATTTGCGGTTTGGCAGGTGGCCTTCGTGGCCAAGCGAGGCTGGAATTCTTGGAGTCGGCTTTCAGAAAGAAATTCCCGCCGAGAAGTGGTTAAAGCTACAGCCTTTTTGTGTTTCATTTTGACCTACAAGTTGTTCACTGGCAGTCTTGAATGCATTTGGCACAGCTGAGGTATCATCGTCATTTTCCATGTGCCTTGCACCCTGACCCTCATTGAATCTTCCGTCTGCACAACCTGTACGCTCTGGTATTGATGTCCTGAAGGGGAGCTGACCATCGCCTTGAAACTCAACTGTGCATCAGAACAAAAACAATACTCAACAATCCATGAACATATGCAGCAA